TGTACCAATCAGCGCGTGGGAAGGGCGGGGCCTGGCTCTCCGACCTGCTGCCTAGTGACCAGTTGATTGACCAATCAACTCACAGGGGGCGTGGCCTAGGTTTGTCAAGTCAGCCCGCAAGGTTCCGAGAGCAAGGTTGTGGCCGCTCCGCCAATCAGCGCTTGGGGGAGGCGAGGCCAGAATTGTCGCTGCCTATCGAGTTCCTCTGTGACCAAGCCAATCAAATCGCAGGAGGAGCGTGGCCCTGGGGCTACCGGGCCGTGTTCGGGCGTTCCCTCGCGGGCAGAGGCGCTCACATTAAGCGGAGCATGGAATGGGCAGGGCTATCGGCTATCCCAGGAGGCCCGCTGTCCATCAAAGCTAGGATGGGGCGTGGTCAGACGTACTCACATATCCCAGCGGGCGCCGCGGCAGCCCGCCGCCCCGCCCCCTATAAAAGCCGCGCACGTGGCGGGTGGCGGGGCCTGTGGCAGCGTGGCGTCACGCACGGCACGCCCCCGCCCGGGCTCTGGCCTGTCAAGTCCTGAAGGGATGCGTCTGAGGACTGCAAGTAACAAGCAGCTGGTGCATTTGAACCACTGACCCTGAGGCTGGCCATACAAATGCTTACCCAGCAATGCCACCAAGGCATTGATAGAACGAAACAGCAAATGAATGCAAGCTTGGATGTGTCCACAGGGGGACTGAAGTACTACCAGGTGTAAGTTTTTCTTGAAAACCTTTTCATTTATTTCACAATTCCACATATCCACACTTAGCAGATATATTCATATACGTGAAATAATTTAAATACAAGGACAGCAGAATAGTAAATGACAGGAAACCATGCCCTTCAAAGCAGACTCATAAATGGTCCAGCCCCATGTCAGAATATGTCAGTTAAAAACCAAGGAAGCTTTGCATTTACTAAAGGGTGGTATAAGAACCAAGTGTAGGAAATTCCACCAGCTGTCAAAAAAACACATCTCATAAGTATGCTTATACAGGAGCACTCATTTTACCAGTGGCATTGAGAGTCAGGCGTTGGACTGGGAACTACAAGGCGTGCAGTTCACTCACCAGCTACTCAGTGGGAGAAAGATGAGGCTTTCTACTTATAAAGCTTTACCTCGGAAACTCAAAGGGCAGTTCTACTCTGTCCTATTATATATAACATTGCAATGTGGCAGAATTGTCAGATTATGGGTTCTTAATTTTTATACCTTTCATATAAAGGTTTAACGTATGTACAAATTCCTTGATACTCCTCCCTTCAAAATACGGTGCCTAGTTCACTTCCCTCTGAGTGTGGGCTGGCCCAGTGACTTGCTTTTAATGAACAAAATGTGGGGAAATGATGGTGCCTGACTTCTGAGTAGATCATAAAAGGTTGGGGCTTCCTCCTTGCTCTATGGGATAACTAGGTGTGTGGAAAGTCAGTTGCCAAGTTGTGAGGGGACTCAAGCAACTTTATGGATCAAGTCACACAGAGAGGAACTGAGGCTCCTGGTCAACAGCCATGCGAGGAAGCCAAGCCCATCAAACTTGGCCATTCAGAAATTCCTGGGCCTACAGAAATTGAGAAGCAGTGAATTTTGTTAGTGTGACCTACTAAATTGGAGGATGTGTTGCTAATGCAGCAATACACTGAGAAACATTTAAAGGAATTCAACAATGCTTACAAGAGTCATGGAAAATTCTAGATTTGCAAGGTTGGGAAGCTCAAAGGACACCTGAAGCACAGAGTTACCAGCAAGATCAACGTCCAGGCAGACGGTAGTCTCATCATGTACTTTAATGCTAAGGGCAAGAACACATCCAGGTTCTTTTTAGGAACGGAACAAAAAGTCTTCAGTTGTGTTGTGGGTTTCCTTGATGTCCAACCTCAGCTAGGTTCAGCCATTCCATCCATCTGTAGTCAGCTGATCCAGACGTAGCAGGTTCTGAGACGGGAAGAATCAGCACCACCAGACACCTGGGAGGGAGAACAAGCCCAGGTGAGCAGAAACATCCCTTCTACACGAAGTTAAACTGATGGGACAATCAGGGGGCCTGTGGTCCGAGGATTCCAGCCCACCACAAAAACCAAAATGGCGGGAGGGTCCCAAGCTAGCCGTTCTTACATCAAAGCAGAGAGGTAAAAGGAAGATGTGGAGCCAGGCTGCCCAGGTTCAAATCTATCTCAAATGGCTTTCCTTCTCTGTAACATGGGGTTGGGAAAGTGCTGCTCACACAGGCCTGAAATGTGGGCTGATGAGTAAAGATAGGAGCAATGTGCTTAGGACAGCAGCCAGAGTCTTGACAAACCAATCAGTCCAGATGAAGGAAGCTGAGATGTAGCCAATTAATATGGCGCCTCTTGTCATAATCCCTTGTGAGATGTTCTAAATCCTAGGCTGGACTCCCAATTAGGAGGGAGTTCTCTGCTATGCTATCAGACAGGATTAAGGTGAGATCAACTCTGTACTTTAGTACACAGTGTGAACCAGGTCACCACCCTTTGTTTCCTTAGGGTATGATCTGCTAAGACAAAGCCACAGCTCTGTAGGAATGAGCCATCTCGAAACAAGAACATGGAAACCCCAGGGCCTTCGGCAGAAGAGCCACCAGGGGAGCACGTATGAGATCTCTCGTGTGGCAGAGGCCAGAAGTGCTCAGACAAAAACTCACAACGATGGCGGTTTAATAGGGAAGGCACTAGGCTAACAGTAAGGATATAGTCCTTGGTCCACAGCAACACCTAGCCTTAGCCAGCATCCAAGCTTGTGTGGCCAGGGCCACTAATTATTGAACCCAGTAGGACAGCAGTGTGTTGGGGGAGGAATGGTTGGTGTCAAAATACGGTAAAGAAAGATGGAGGATGGAGGCATGTCTGACTTCTGCCTTGTGGCAACAGGAAAGCAGGATGGAGTCTCTGGGCCGTTTCCCCAGAGAGAGAAGGGGCTGAAGAAAGGGGGTTGCAGGTCTAAGTGCTTCGTTAGCTAGGACATCAGAACGTGATGGTGCCTGGGTGCCGTTACGAATGAATCACGGTGAGTCTTGATCAAGGGGGGTGGGGGGGTGGGGCAGAGTGGAATGGAATTTCAAATGCTTATAGACTCGACTCACTGGACCCTTTAAGAGGGGGAACCCCCAAATTTACCACTCTGGGAAAATCTTCAAACCGTGAAATGAAACTATTCCCTGACATCACTTCAAATCGCTATCTAGCTGAATCCGTCATGAACGTGGCCATGAACACGTGTGTTCTTTGAAAGCACGGTCTCAAAATGAGGACCTAATGTCGGGGGTTTAAATGGAGAGAAAATGTTTTGAGAAACGATGTACAAATGCGCTTTACACAATTGATGTGTGTATGGATTGGGATAACAGTTGTATGAGCCCCTAATAAAATGTTAAAAAAGAAAAAAGAAAAGGGAGTCTTGTGAAAAGGTGAAAAAAAAAAAAAGCACTGTCTCGATGAGCTCAAGGTGTCAGCTGTATATGGCAAGTAAGATAAAAGAAGGGGTGCTGTGGGGGAGGGAGGGGATAACGGGGAGCTGGCCTCAAGGAGTTCAAGGAGAAAATGTTTTGAAACTGGCTGTGGTAGCAGGTGTACAATGCTGCCTGATGTGACTGAACCAAGAAATGTTGACATCTGTGAGAGCTCCCGATAAAATGACTGGAGAACAGCCCGCCGTGCCTCCAAAGCGGAGGGAAACGGAGTCCCGCTCAGCAGTGGGGAACATGGGGAGAGGGGGCTGAACGGTGATGCATCCGACTGCATCCGAGTCACACAGGCAGACACCAAGGAATGGGTTTGTATTCTGTTGTGTGTTATTTTCACCAAAAAGAAAGACATCGGGTCCCATGACTCTCAGAGCAACCCATCCTAGGGCTCAGCCTTATCTTTCCCCACTTGTAAAGTGGGGCCACCCTCCATGCCGCCCTGGCTGGGGAGCAGGAGGAGATGGGGCGACAAGGCTGGGAACAGGATGGGCAGGAGCCAGAGAGAGAACCACGGGACAGTGCTGACCCCGGGATAAGAAGGTGCCTGCAGAGCCAGTGTCTGAACTTGGCCAGCAGGGAGATTCTCCAAGATCAAGCCCCTGCCCCCAAGCTCTGGGAACACCAAGAACTCCACCTTGGAAAAACCTACCTCTCTGCGGTCTGCTTCCTGGGGAGGCCCAGGTTTACCCACCAACAGCCCGCAGACCTGACCTCAGAAACTTACAATCGGAAGAAAACTCTGGAGGGTGTCCTCAGTCGTCCCTCTTAAATTTGCCGTTAATGTAGGGCACCCAGTCCAGGATCAGCCGCCAGTCGGTGGCCCACACCAGCCCCACGGAACCCACTGCGCCCCACATGCCTGCCGTGGGCAGCCTGAATGCAAGAGAACCAGCGTCAGACCTGTTTGCAAAGTGTCCTCCTGAAAGTCTCCCCCACCTCCCACATGTAGGTGCCTACCTGCCCCCTGACTGCAGCTGTCCCAGTCTTTTCTCACCTGTACAACCCCGCAGGCTGGGCAAGAGGCTCAAAACTGATAGACGGCCCAATGTCCCACTCATGCCAACAGCCTGCAGGGAGCTGCCCCAAGCAGCAACACCCCCTCCCAGGTGGTCACTAGTTACCCCTACCATCAGAAACTGGCCAAGGCATGACATGAGGGACCCAGGATCAAATGTGCTGCTTCTTCTCATGGCCTTCGACAGGTAGGGTCACTCTATCATCCGGGGACGCTTCTGCCTCCGCCATCTTGGTCACCCCTCTCTGGAGACCCTAGGGACTTAGAATTCCCAAATGTGTTGTATATATTTCCAAAATGCCCTGCTTTTAGCTTCTTCCATTTCTCAAGACATCCCAGGCTTAGGGGAAGGAGAGTGGCGGGCAGGGACTCTGGCTCCAAGCAGGGCCTTCCTCAAAGCCCACAGTACCTTCTGAGGGTCTACAAGCTTCCCGGCTCCTAGGAGCCAGAAATAGCTGGGGCAGAGCTCCCTGGACCCTCCTACAAGTCTGACTCGGCATGTATTGATCTCATGGCAGCCTCAGGGGCCGTTCTCTCAGCAAGGAAGTCAGGGTCTGGCACACTGGTCTCTGCTGTGTCCCTCACGCACAGTAGGTGCTCAGGAAATGCTTGTGGGGTAAATAAAAGTCTGGGTGAAAGAGTGTCAGCTGGGAATCAGCTGGTGTCTGCTGTCCAGAGTCACTCCATACCTAACTTTAAAAAAAAAATCATTTTATTAGGGGCTCATACAACTCTTATCACAATCCATACACACATCAATTGTGTTAAGCGCATTTGTACATTCATTGCCCTCATCCTCCAAACATTTTCTCTCCACTTAAACCCCCGGCATTAGGTCCTCATTTTTCCCCTCCCTCCCCGCTCCCCCTTCC